CATCATCATCATCATCATCATCATCATCATCATCATCATCATCATCATCATCAAAGAAAAACCTGTTTGAATACCAAGTTTCACAACATTATGTAAAATAGCCCAGTTCCTGTCTCTGAAAGGTCCTTTTTCTCTCTCTGTATTTTGTCTCTGTTCATTAGCCATGCCTTCACCTAGCACTAAGTGCCCGTTGTGTGTCACGCTGCTTCTGTTTACTCATTCTTAAGTAGAGACAGAAGTAAAACATCTTGAGTAAAGCTTTTTCTTTATTGACAACTGATTTTTTAAAGTTAATCTCACTTGTAAACTAACAGTTTTCTTTCTACATCATTTCTTTTATTTTTTTTATCGTTACAGCTGGTAGATTTGAAAGGCAATGGCCGAGATGTAACCATCGACTGGATCAGTAGAACTCTGTACACAGTGGAGAACGCCAGCCCAAACCGCAGCAATGTGATGCAGTTCAACATGGACCACGGTGGCTACAGTCTTCTCGTGTCCAGGCCCGAACACATCGGCAGCGTCATCGCTGACCCCTACAACAGGTGAGTACGACAGGGAGCTGTGCTGAGGTCAAAACAAAAGCAAAATGGGTTATGAGTCATAGGAACAATAGCATTGAAATTATGTGTTGCTTAAACTAAAACTGAAGCTTTGCATGTTTGCAGCACAAACCGTTTAAACCTGGTGTAAAAATAAGAATGTTAAGAAATATGCTCTTGAGAAATCGGTGTTTCTTTCTGAAGAGCCTTTTACTTTACTGTGGTAAATGTTAACTACTGATGACATATCTCAGTTCCCGTTGGGATGTTTTTACGTCTCTTTTTATTATGTCTTTCCGAAATCCTATTTATTCCTTTCTTTCTCAGCGCAATACTGTGGACGGAAAGAAGTGCCACGACAGGTCAAGGTCAAATCATGTCGGCCGACACGAGCACGGGTAAGGTGGAGGTTGTGCTCGGAGCGGGAAGCAGCCGGGTTCGTCGCAGCAGTAGCAGCTCCTCATGCTCGTGCTCGAGCGCCCTCGACGTGGCCCCAGTCATCGCCATGAGTTACAAGCGACCCGACGGCGCCACAGAGATCGTTTTCGCTGATAAGATATCTGGCTCCATCTACACCTCCGACATCAGCGGCTGTCACTGTAGCCTTGTCTTTGAGCCCACAGCCCGTATGAGATATGGTATGATCTTTTTTTCTGGCTTTTTTAATTTACTGCTGTACTTCTTTTTGTAGTAAATTTGCTTTTTCCTGTTTTAATTATTACGCCGGAACTTCGAAAATGTGAACATGTCACTAAATAGCTTTTTGTTGTTTTCTTCCTCCTCCTCCTCCTCCTCCTCCTCCTCCTCCTCCTCCTTATCTTATTCTTCTTCTTC